TGTATAGGAAAAAAATATCAGGAAGGTACAATGAAAGTATATAAGGAAGGTATAAGGAAAGTGTTAGGTATAAAGGGAAAACATTTAGGGAACTGTGGTGTATAGGAAAAAAATATCAGGAAGGTACAATGAAAGTATAAGGAGGGAATAAGGGGAGTATAAGGAAGGAGACACGTGACCTGGCGAAGGGTATCAGGCGGGCCGAAGCGAAGCCAAAGGGTTCTCCAGGATGTGACTTGCACTGTCCTATTAAAGGTAATTCACGTTCGGGGGCTATCACTATGCAATTTCTAGGGAGGGGATGTTGGAGGGGGGAGGGTTGGACTAGTTATATTCCTCCTCGTCTTTCTTGTCTTCTTGCCCCTTCCTCTTTCTTCTCCTATTCTTCCCCTGATTTCTTCTTTTTTCCCTCCTCTGTTTCCTTCATTTCTTCCTTAATTCTTTTTTTTTCTTCTTTCTTCCTTACTCTTCTTTGTTTCTCTTCTTCCTTCTCTTTGTTTATACCCGTTCCTTCTCTCCTTTCTTCTCCATCTTCATTCTTCCCTGTTCCGTTCTCTTTTATCCTTCTCCCTCTCCCCCATATCTCTTGTCCCTTTCTTCTCCCTCCCCCTCCACCCCCCATGAGTCCCCTTTTTCCTACCTTCCTCCCTTTCGCCCCCCTCCCCCCATTAGCCCCTCTACTCCTCCCTCCCCCTCAACCTCCCATTAGTCCCCGCCCCTTCTCCCTCCCCCTCACCACCCTCCCAGAGTCCCCGCCCTTTCCCCCTCCCACCCCCCCCAGTCCCGCCCCTCCTCCTTTCCCCCCCGCCCCCCCACCATTATAGTCCCTTCGCCTCCCTCCCCATCCACCTCCCATGAGTCCCCGCCCTTCCTCCTCCTCCCTCCCCCCTCCGCCCCCACACAGTCCCCGCCCCTCCTCCTTCCTCCCTCCTCTCCACTCCCCACCAGTCCCCGCCCCTTCCCCTCCCTCCCCCTCACCCCCACCAGTCCCCGCCCCCTTTCCCTCCCCCTCCCACCCCCTACCAGTCCCCGCCCCTTCCCCTCCCCCTCCACCCCTCACCAAGCCCCCGCCCCTGTCCCCTCCCCCTCCACCCCTCCAATGAGTCCCCCGCCCTTTCTCCCTCACCCTCCCACCCCACCAGTCCCCGCTGCTCCTCTTCCCCCTCCCCCCCCGCCCCTTCTCTTCCCCCTCCCCTGCACCCCCACCACAGTCCCCGCCCCTCCTCCTCCTCCCTCCCCCCGCCCCACCAGTCCCCGCCCCTTTCCCCATCTCCTCCCTCCCCCTCCACCCCCCACCAATCCCCGCCCTCTTCCCCTCCCTCCCCCTCCACCCCCCACCAGTCCCCACTCCATCTCCTCCCTCCCCCTCCACCCCCCACCAGTCTCCGCCGCTTCCCCTCCCTCCCAATCGCCCCCTAGTGTCACTGCGCAGCGCCGAGGAGGCCTGATGACAGTCATTAGGTTTATGACGACATCGTTTCAGGTTGTTCCCGGTCTGGTTCACTGGTTCGCTGAGCCGGCACTCGCGCGGTCACGGGAGGTCATGCTGGGGGGCAGAGAAGGGGGGAGGGGGGAGAGAAGGGGGAAGGGGGGAGAAGGGGAGGAGTGGATGGAGAAAGAGAAGGAAGAGGGGGAGGCGATGAGAATGATGGTGATGATGATGATGATGATGATAATAATAATGATAACATAACAATATTGATAATAATAATATTGTAATGAATAATGATAATGATTATAAATATAATGACTATAATGATAATGATGATAGAAACAAAAATAAAGAACAAAAAGTACTGAAAAAAATGTAACAATATTACCAGAGACGATGCAATAAAGGAGGAGGAGGGCCCGAAAAAAGGAAAAAAAGGGATAAGTCAAATCAAAAGGCAAATGACCGGATTAAAAAAAAAGCGATTATTGATTTTCGAATTCGGAATCTCGGAATCTGAAATTTTGAACACAGTTGCTTCGTTCTCTTTTGGTTTTTAATTTTCTAAAATATCAATTATTACACGTCATATTATATATATATATATATATATATATATATATATATATATATATATATTATATATATATATATATATATATTTTTTTTTTTTTTTTTTTTTTTTTTTTTTTTTTCTTTTCTTTTCTTTTTTTTCTTTTCTTTTTTTTCTCGGGGAAAAAATATTCAGATGCCCAACGTTCTAAACATATATATGACGAAAGAAATTTTGTCGTAAAGCGTGACTTATTAATAATCTTGGGAATTTTTATCTTCAAGTTTTCGGAGATTTTCAGCCGTTTGCTCAAGCCGGCGGAGTGTCTTAACGTCCATTTGATATATTGCAACTCCGAGTCCTATCCATGCAACTCTGCCTCCCTCCCGCATCCTATAGGATTTCCCGTCCATCCTTTTTTATCACAAGGAATCACGACTGTTTCCCTATCAATTTATGGCTTTAAGGTCGAGCTCTCCCTTTGCCTAGTACGCTCACGTGGTCCTTAAGGCTTGGAGTCCCACGTGGCAGCCTCGTTTGGCCTGGATTAACCCGCGCATCGAGGTGGGCTGACCTCCCTGACCTTATGAAAATGGACTTTGAGTCGTATATCACAATTACGTAGAGGTTAATGTCGGCTGTTTAATATATCTGATCGTAGTGTGTGTACTCTTCGGATCTTGTTTAGTTTATGTGTATGGGCTTACTTGTGCGCGGAAGAGGGGGGGGGGGGAGAGGGGGAGAGAAAGAGAAGGGAGAGGGGGGGAAAGGTGAGAGAGAGAAAGAGAGGGGGAGAGGGGGTGGGAGGGAGAGAGGGAGTGGCCGGTGGGAGGGAGAGAGAGGAGTGGGGGTGAGAAGGGAGAGAGGGAGTGGCGGGGGGAGGGAGAGAGGAGTGGGGGTGAGGAGGTGAGAGAGGCGAGTGGGAGGGAGGGATGGGGAGATGGGGGGGGGAGGGAGAGAGGGGGAGAGGGGAAGGAGGGAGATGGGGGGAGATAGAAAGAAAATAGAGAGAGAACAGAGATAGAGAACAAAGAAAGAAATACACAGATAGATAGAAACGAAACGAAAGGCAGAGAAAAAAAATTGTTATACGACGGCAGAGATAAAACAGACGATAACGCAGGAATAATTCCACGGCAGGAAGAGACCACCAAAAGCAGGTCGTAATGTGTCGTTAACGTATCGGCGCCTCGAGGAGGAACGACCCGCCCACCCGACGTCGGCGCTTTGTGTGTGTGTGTGTGTGTGTGTGTGTGAGAGAGAGAGAGAGAGAGAGAGAGAGAGAGAGGAGAGAGAGAGAGAGAGAGAGAGAGAGAGAGAGAGAGAGAGAGAGAGAGAGAGAGAGAGAGAGAGAAGAGAGAGAGAGAGAAGAGAGAGAGAGAGAGAGAGAGAGAGAGAGAGAGAGGTGAGAGTGTGTGTGTGTGTGTGTGTGTGTGTGTGTGTGTGTGTGTGTGAGTGTGAGTGTGTGATTAAGAGAGAGAGGAGAGAGAGAGAGAGGAGAGAGAGAGAGAGAGAGAGAGAGAGAGAGAGAGAAGAGAGAGAGAGAGAGAGAGAGAGGAGAGAGAGAGAGAGAGAGAGGTGTGTGTGTGTGTGTGTGTGTGTGTGTGTGTGTGTGTGTGTGTGTGTGTGTGTGTAGAGATGTGTGTGTGTGTATGAGAGAGAGAGATATATGTGTGTGCAGGCGTCAACTTACCGCCACAGCCTCCACTATTTATTCCCCTGTATATCACCTCCAGAAAGGCTCTGTGACCCAACCCGACCTGGCATCTTGGGTGGGGAGGGGGGGCGAATGGGGGGGGGAGGTACGCGGTCAAAGGGGAAATTTATGACCCACGGGGAATAAATAAACACCTTAAAAGCTTCCCACGACCCCCCCTGGACCCCTACCCCCTCTGGACCCCAAACTCCTCTCCTTACCTGCATTGGAAGAGGGGGGGGGGTAATGGAGTAATTCAGAAGAGAGAAAAATTAAAATTGAAACGAAAAAAGTGAAAATTAATTTTTGGAAACTATTAAAGGACGAGAGGGGGGGGGTGCATGATAAAAGAAGACATTTACGATTTTAGGAGATAATTATGTTGATAATCATGATACAGCATTAAGATAAGAACGCTTATTGGAAAAAAATTAAGATTAAAATTATAGTGAAGGAGAAATGCTTACATTCAAGATGTAGACAAAAAAAAAAAAAAATGGTACTAATAAATAAATACATAAATAATAAATATCAGAAGAATGAGAATAAGTAAAAAAAAAAAAAAAAAAAAAATCACAGGCTCTAACAACTGCTTCAAAAAATTAGTCCGGATAACACTGTTGTCTCGCTTGAAGAATCCGAGACCGGCGCCCACCCCGCCCACGCACGAGCGACACCGAGACCGAAACGTGCGGGCGAGCGAGAAACCACAATACCTGAGATCCATTTCAAAGCCAGCGTCCCGAGGGTTTAGCACTGTAATCAGGCCCACCGCCAGTATAGCATTTTCCTCCCCAGCGCCCTCCGAAGACGTATAAATCTCGGCGCAAGATGAGACAGATTCGGGTTTGTCGGACGGGCTTCGGGTGTCTCTGAGGCTTCGACACGCACGACGTAGCAGCTGGGTGTGTGCAGCGTCGTCCGTTGCACAAAAGGGTAGTTTTAGCGAGATAAGGGAACGGAGTACATGCTTCTGGCACGACCCTGCGTCTGAGTACGATCCTCTAACCATCTAAATCAACCCAAAAGCAAGATATTTAAAGAACCACAGTAACCGATTCTTAAGTATCCCTGTGAGATGAATAGTTGTGTTTCGAGGAATTAAAAAAAGTGAGCATGTAACTTTTTTTTGAGCTGATTTTGTATCCTTCCCCATTTATCCTTATTTTCGATTTTTCTTCTTAATTCAAAATTCCAATAATTTTCGTGAACCTTTAGTGAACCCTTTAAAGCAAGCACGCCCCCTCCCTCCCCCACCACCCCAGGGACCAACCTCCCCCACAAGGCGCTGACGAAACCTCCCTGGCTCTCCCCACCAGATCGCGCTCTACACCCACAACCTGGTCCCGCTGCACAACATCAGCGGCTACCAGCTGGGGGCGTACTTCGGCTACTGTCTGGGCGTCGTGGACTTCAACAACGACGGGCTGGATGACATCATCGTGGGCTCGCCGATGTACACGGACTACAACGACCGGGAGATGAAGTACGAGGTCGGCAGAGTCCATGTCCTGCTGCAGAACAATGTAAGTGCATTTGGGCTCTTGCTTTATATCTGTCTGTCTGTATGTGTTTGTGTGTGTGTGTGTGTGTGTGTGTGTGTGTGTGTGTGTGTGTGTGTGTGTGTGTGTGTGTGTGTGTGTGTGAAAAGAGAGAAAGAGTGTGTGTGTGTGTGTGAAAAGAGAGAAAGAGTGTGTGTTTGTGTTAATGTGTTTTGTGGTTGTCCTTTGTATAGATATTTTGGTTATATAATTTATACACTTCTTTTTGTTGCTACATGCAGGAAATTTCTTCCGAACAGCCATTCATATCCTTATCTACTTCACGCATTTCCTTGCTCCCCTCTTTTTGCCTTTCTACCGAGTATCATAACATCAGTTGTTTGGCGATGTTTCAGGCCATTGAACCCCTCTCTCGGCCGCGTCCTTATCATCTGGACAGCGTAATAGAGCGCAGAAATCTTGCGCTTTGGCCGCCATATTTATGCCCTGTTCACGTCACGGGTCCCGTTTTTTATGCGAGATGAACGCTTTAAATCACGCCGCACAAAGAAAACGGGGGCGGGAGGGAGGCGACCCAAGCACGGGGATAAGGGTGGGGTTTGTGGTGGGGGAGAGGGGGTAGGAGGGTTGGAGGGGGGATTACAGGCCGTCCCCTGCACCCGGAACTTCATGGGTGAATTACGCTCATGAAATGGGGGCAAGGTGGGGGGGGGGGTGAGAGATGGGAAAGAGAGACTTAAAGAGGACGGAGAAAATAGGAGAAATGGTATGAAGGAAGAAAGGAGATGGGGACGAAAATGAGATTAACAGGAGACAAGAGACGAGACAAAGGATGTATGAACACACACGCCCCCCCCACCCACACACATTTAAGGGACTTCAAAGGGAACCCAGATACCAAATTTCGTTCAGACCAGGCAGTCACTTCGGATGAACATTTTCGACAGTTCAGTGTGAATTTGATTTTAAAAACACGTGAGCTTAAATACGTGAAGCTGGTCACGTCCTTCGCTTCTATTTCATCTTCAGTTGCTTGAACCACACGCCCTTCTACTCTTTTTACATCAGACTCGATAAAAAAATCCTTCAGGGTTTATTCGAATTTACGGGTTTTCAGCATTAAGAGACGCGCTCACTCTTTATCAGTTCTGCGCATACATTTACATATTTATATATCTATATACAGATACACACACGCATGCATGCACATACTGCCTACACATACTTTATACACATATGAATATACACTGTATACTCATACTTTAAATACATACATTTACATGCACATACTATATACACATACATTTATATGCGCATACTGTATACACATACATTTACATGAATATGCTGTATACACATATACACTTACATCTACATGCTGTATACACATACACTACATAAACATTCTGTATACACATATGCACTCCCATGCTCATTCTGCATACACACATACACATACATATTATATACACATACGCACATCCACATCCATATACTACACAAGTCCCACGCATCATTATCGCTGGAAGGAGAAGGTTTCTACGGCCTCCCACACAGGGTCCGCAACAGGATATCGCCGAGGACAAGCCACAGGCAAAAGAAAGACCCAACGATTATAAGATAATCTGTCCAATATATCAGATTATCACTACGAGTACTAGTCGTTTCTAGCCTCTATAACCTAGAAGAAATATAAGAAAAATCATACGACTTTCCTCCGTTTTTTTTCTTCTTAGCGATATAGAGGGAGAAGAAAACAGAAGACAGAAAAGGTGCTGCAGTGTTAGGGTCGCTGTCTCAGGTGTCATCGCGGACGGAGGCGAAGGCCAAGGCGTTCTCCGGAAAAGGTCACGCTTTCCTGGAATGTCCGTCGCAGGTCGTTGTGTGTCGTAAATAGAGAGAGAGAGAGGCAGAGACAGAGACAAACAGACAGAGACAGACAGACAGACAGAAGAGAGAGAGAGAGAGAGAGAGAGAGAGAGAGAGAGAGAGAGAGAGAGAGAGAGAGAGAGAGAGAGAGAGAGAGAGAGAGAGAGAGACAGAAGAGAGACAGAGAGAGAGAGAGAGAGGAGAGAGAAATTCAGAGAGAGAGAGAGAGACAGAGAACAGAGAGAGAGAGACAGACAGAGAGATCAGAGAGAGAGACCAGAGAAAGAGAGACTTCAGAGAGAATGCCAGAGACAGAGACTGGTATCAACAATAGTCCGGCGAAGGAAAGTCAATTACAGGCTCGAATGGCCACCTGAGGAGAGAGTCGACGAGGTGGACAGGGAGGAGCTGGGGGTCAGGGCAAGGAAGGGAGGGGGAGGGAGTCGTATGAGGGAGAAAAGGGAGGAAGACAAGGGTCAGGGAGTCGGTATTGTCTCCCTCAGTAGTCCCGACCGCATGCCCCTTGGCGACGTACCCACTGGAAACACGGGTTCTTTTCTCTCGCTTGGATTGGCTGGTGGAGGAGGAGGGGTGGGGGTGGGGTGCGGGGTGGGGGTTTGTGGGTATCGAAGAGATAATAGATTGGATTAGGTCTTGAAAAGGGTATTGCACGAAACGGAAAAGAATGAGAGGAAGAAAGTAGTAGTTGTAGCAAAAGAAGAGAAGAATTAAAAAAAAAATATTGCTCAAAACAAAAGAAAAGAAGATAAACAAAATGAAGAAGGGAAAACAACAGCAGGAAGAACTTTTACACAAAAAATGAAATATGAAAAAAAGAATTGTAACAAAAAAAAGAAAAAAAAATGAAAAAGTACAATACAAAAAGAGAACAAGAAATATACAGTAGTTTCTGTATTGTATATAAGAAAGTGCCTTCGGCCTGGTTTAAGAGGATGAGTGGCAGGGGAGACTAAAGTGAGATGGAAAATGATGGAAGAGGATAGAAGAGGATAAATAAGAAATGGTGGTGAATGGAGAGAAAGAAGAGGCAGTGGCTGACTGCAGGAGGGAAAGGGAAATCTGTGGACTAATGGAGAGCCTTCAGGATTAAACCATTATGTTTAAGAACTTTAAAAACGCATTTTTCATCTTAAATCTCTCTCTCTCTCTCTCTCTCTCTCTCTCTCTTCTCTCTCTCTTTCTCTCTCTCTTCTTCTCTCTCTCTCTCTCGTCTCCTCTTCTCTCTCTCGCTCTCTCTCTCCTCTCTTCTCTCCTCTCTTCTCTCTCTCTCTCTCTTCTCTCTCTCTCTCTCTCTTTCTCTCTCTCTCTCTCCTCTCTCTCCTCTCTTTCTCTTCTCTTCTCTCTTCTCGCTACTCGAATCTGTATTTCTTTCCGCCCCCCTGTCGTGATCACCTCCCCTGCCAATCTTTCTCGAAGGGAGTCCCATGACGCACATCGCCTCGCCATTCCGCTATGTCTTGGTCGGGTTCATGCAGTTGAATCGAAAGCGTCTGAGTCTGCTGTGGATGACGACTCTGGTTCTCCTTTTTGCCCCTCGAGGTTATAGGGATTCCTTGGAGATCCTCCCTGCGTTTGGCTTTTTTTTTCTCGCGTTTGATTTCAGTTTATGTTGTTTTATTATTTTTTTTTTTGGACGGTGTGTTTGGTTATGGGTGATTTGGGTCTGTATTTGTTTGGTTAGTTTTTTTTTTTTCGTATCCTAGCCCAAGCGTTTGTCTGTGTACTGGAAGGAATCATTAGTTGAATGTGTGTTGTGCCATTTTTTGTGCATTCTTTAGAAACTTTTGAAATATGTATTCTTTTGCATTTTGCATGTTTTATATACTGCATCAGAACGGCAGACAATGCAGGTAATTGAGTAAAAAAATATTTAAAAATGTTGTTCACATTTTTAAAGATTTTATATGCGAGAGAAAAGATGAAATAAGAAGGAAGAGTTAATGATACTTTGAGGAGGAAGTTTAATACCATAAGTTTAAAAACAGAAAAAAGGAATGAAGAAAGGAAGACGTAAGAATTAGAGGAGGAAGAAGGAGAAGGAGAAAAAAGAAAAAAGAAAAAAAGGAAAATGAAAAAAAGGTAATAATCACAATAATAAAAAAAACAGGTAATAATCACAATAATAATTAAAAAAAACAACAACAGGTAATAATCACAATAATAAGAAAAGGAAAAAGAATAGAAAAGAAAAATATGAGAGTACAGTTACTCCTTCCCGAAGCCCGAAGGCTGACTCGCACCGTGGAAGATGGATACAGCTGCGGTCGGGAAACGGATGACGCCAAGACGCAACCCGGAGTTATGGAGTCGGGGGACGGGGGAATAATGTCTTATTACATACGGGTTGTACTCTGGATGCGAGGGCATTTGGGCATGATGAGAGGGGGGTGGGGTGGGGGGGCAGAGGGCATGGGGGGAGGTAATAGCAGAAGCAGTGATAAAACAAGCGTGGGAATAAAATGTGAGGATATGTCATATTCAGTAACCCGGGAGATGGTTTGAACTTGATGGAGAGAGAGAGAGAGAGAGAGAGAGAGAGAGAGAGAGAGAGAGAGAGAGAGAGAGAGAGAGAGAGAGAGAGAGAGAGAGAGAGAGAGAGAGAGAGAGAGAGAGAGAGAGAGAGAGCAGAGAGAGAGAGGAAGAGAGAGAGAGAGAGAAAGAGAGAGGAGCGAGAGCGAGCGAAGAAGAAGAAGAATAATGAGACAAGAGAAGATAAAAATGAAGGGTATAAAAGAGAAAAGACAAACATGTACTTTCCAAATAGATATGCAGATGGTGGAAGAAGGAAGTGACTGTGACAGATGGTTGAAAAGTGGTTGAAGCCTTGATGACAGATGGAGGTAAGGGGAGTGGGGGGGGGGGGGGCTAAGGAGGTACTAACCATTAGAAAACAATTACAGGTGAGTAAGGGTCAGGGGGAAGGTGGGGGGTGGGGGAAGGGTGGGGGGGGGGTTGGAATGCAGAGGCAGTGCCGGCTTTTCTCGATCTCTCTTGCCCTGATTACGTTGCTTGGTTGCGACGATTCTCTTCTTTCTTCTTCTTTTTCTTTCCTTCTCTTCTTTCTCTTCTCTCTTCTCTTCTCTCTCTCTCTTCTCTCTCTCCTCTCACTCTCCTCTCCTCTCCTCTCCTCTCCT